TCCTCCGCTCGCGGCGCACCGCAGCAGCCCGGGACCGAAAGGCTGGGACCCCCGAAGAACGCAGCCGCCTGCAACCGCGCACGCGCCCGGGGACGGAAGGGGCGTGGCTAAGGGCGGGCCTTCCGGGTTGGAGGTGTGCACCACTCCGGACCTTCCCCGAGGTCACGCAAGGGTAGCCAGGGTCCCGCCATCAGTCGGCTGTCCCTAGTCAGACGCTCGAGTTAAGCGACATGTCCGGGGTCCTACACATAAGGCGTAGTGGGACTAAAGCAGTGTGGTGGTGGTGGTGCAGATGCAAGCATGTAATCCCAGCGTCTGGGAAGCCGAGGTCGGCGATCTACGAGCTCGAGGACAGCGTGGCCTGTAGAGTGAGTTCCAGGACAACCAGGGCTACACATGCTCACAGCTGTTAAGTTTGTCATTCCTATGCTACACTTTAAAGTAAAACTCACTACAAGCCAAGATAAAGTAGAAAAAAGGTAAAAGGTGAGCATAAACAAACAAACAAAAAGCCAGTGTAAAAAGATGCTCAACTTTGGGAGCCAGGAGGACAGTCATCTCACAGAACAAACATGATGAAGTTTGCACAAGTGTTGGGAGAACGGGGAAGTAGACTGGTGTATGTACTGTTCTGTGTGCAATACCCTTTCCTCTATTTCACGTACATGTGTGGTGTGCGTGCATGCATGCATGTTTGCATGTGTGAGTTCACATGGTGTGGGTCCCTTTGAGCCCCTAGATTGATGCTGGGACTCATCTTCCACAGCTCTTACACCTTACTCAATGGAATTAGGGTCTTCCCAGCAAACCCAGAGCTCACCCACACGGTTTGTCTCACTAACCCGCTGGCTCTGGGGATGCCAGGCTTCTCCAGCTGGAATTTAAGTGGTTTTGTGAGTCCTCGTGTTTGCACCACCATGGAATGCACTTCATCTTTGAACGGCATTTTCCCATCTGGGAGACTGACTGACAGCTGTCATCCCACAGCGGCATGAAGATTCATACACTCGGACTCTCCCCGACACACACACACACACACACACACACACACACACACACACACACACACACCTCTACAGAACAACTTGCCGCATTAATTCAACTCTTCTGTTTTCTGGGATACCCTAGGAGAAGAATCAATGCAGAGTGCCTGTGAACTCTGCATTTCACTGACGGAACTGTATGCGTGAGACAGATTTTATTTGTGCTTATTTATGGCAGTTGTTACACAAGTACGTTGTATTTACAGAACCCAATGTATGAGTGTCATTTATTTTTAGATTTTTTTATGTGTGTGAGTCTTTGCATTTATTTATGTGTACCGTGTGTGTGCCTGGTGCTCACAGTGTGGGGTCCCCTGGAACTAGGGTTTTGGATGGTTGTGAGCCTCGCGGTGGGTGCTGGGAACCAAACCGGGTCCTCAGGGAGAACAAGTGCACTTAACTGCCCAATGAGCCATCTCACCAGCCCCAGTGTTTGCTTTGTTTCTGACACATGTGTAACCCTGGCTGTCCTGGAACTTGCTTTGTACACCAGGCTGGCTCCCGAGTGCTAGGATTAAAGGCTCAAGCCACTATGCCCAGCTTCAGTGTATGGTTTTAAAGGTTGTATATTGTGGATATTTTCACCACACACAAAAGGTATGTCTAAATTCACAGAGTAAACGGAAGTACAAGTCTTTTCCAACCATAGCTGTATATAAATGGTAAATGTTGACATTGCTTGTGAAAATACAGGTGTGTGATTGTTTGTTTATAACTGTTATCCCAGTATATGAAAAGCTGAGGTAGGAAGATTGCCATGATTTCAAGGCCAGCCCATAAGTGAGACCCCAATTCCCTCCCTCTCTCTCTCTCTCTCTCTCTCTCTCTCTCTCTCTCTCTCTCTCTCTCTCTCTCTCTCTCTGTGTGTGTGTGTGTGTGTGTGTGTGTGTGTGTGTGTGTGTGATGGTTCGCTTCTTGTAACTAAAGTTTGAGAGTTGCAGAAAACACATAGGAAGAAACAAAATGTATTCGTTACCATCCTCACAAAACAACGACATGAGATTTTAAGGGGGGGGGGTGTTGCTTTTATGAAAACAACCCCCATAAGGGCAATTCATCCAAAAGCAAAGTCAAGCCAGGCGTGGTGAACCAGTGCAGTCGCTCCTAAGTTAGGAAGATGTGTGGCTGGCTCAGGGCCAGCCTGGGCTACCTAAACCCCGCCAACAAGAGCTTGTTCAGGTGAAGCAAAGGCGCCAGGAACCAGCAACCGGGAGTGTCCCGGGGACTCAGGCTTTGTCGACAGGTGGCGTAAACCTGAGCAAAAACGAGGTGGAGAGGCGTTTCTCCTCGGGCCAGCATCCCACGGGAGGGCTGCCGTGCGCCTGCGCCGAGTTCCGGCGAGCGCTGCCGCTTCTCCCTCTGCACATTGGACCCGTGGACTTGGAGGAAGCAGGGACGCGGGTGGCGAGCGGCCCGGAGGGACAGCAGTTTGGGGACGCGGGCGGCTTTGTGTAAGTTTGTCCCTGCGGCAGGGGGGGTCTCGGAGCTCCTGGTCCGGTAACTGCCCCCGCTGGCTGCGAGGAGAGGAGAGCCAGGGGCTGTGATGCCGAGCGCCCCGTGGGAACCCTGCCTGTAGTTCAGCCCCGACTAAAAGCTCGAGTGGCCGCATGTGGTGTTTACTGGGCCTGGCCTTCCGGAGGACACTGCCTAACTGATTAATATTGAGTAAACCGCAAGGTGAAGCTTGACGTTCGCTTCTTACTGCGTCCAGATTGGGGAACTTCATAATGGCCAATATTCTTTCGGTTGTCATTTCCGAACACCGTGCAGGCCCTTGTGATTCGTTTCCCCAGGAATATCATAGCTGCATCCAGCGATATAAACGTTTTGTTTTTGTTAAATGGCTCGCTTCAGTAAGAACATTGTTTTCTCAATCGTTGCAGACCGGGCAAAGGCTTGCAATCCTAATCGCTTCTCAGGATCTAAGTTTGCATTCCCTTTATATTCAGTAGCATTACAATCGTGTGTTTAGTGGCCAGCTCTTTTCTTTTTCAGGGAACTGCTTGTCAATTGTTCTTGCCTCCTTTTTTTCACTGGAGTATCGCCTTTTATATACTGAGGTGTAAGAGCCCCAAATAAAACTTCAGTTATTAGTGTACGGTACAGGACTTACGTCTCCTTTTATCAGTTATGACTTTGCTTTGCTTATGGTATTTGGCCATGTAGAAGTTTTAATTTCTGTGTAATTTGTTAATATACTGTTATGAATTCATAGTTTTATTATGTTTCAAAGGCCTTTTTACAAGTTTATAAAATCATGCCTAGACTTTTATGGTTTCACTCTTTTAATTAAAACGTATTAGAGAAACAGACTGAGAAAGACCAAACTTAGGCTGGCTTCAAACCCAAGGTACTCTTACCTCAGCCTCCTGAATTTTGGGATTATAGGAGTATGTTTCCACCCTGGACTACCTGGAACCTATTTTAAAAAATGCATTTAGTGTCTGTGTGCATGTGTGGTGTGTGTGTGTGTGTGTGTGTGTGTGTGTGTGTGTGTGTGTGTGTGTGTGTAGACACTTGTACCACAGGTGTTTGGGGAGAGGGTGGAGGAGGGCTACTTGCAGGGATCAGTTCTCTCGTTTTTTTTGGGGGGGGGGTATTTTCGAATCAGGGTTTCTCTGTGGCTTTGGAGGCTGTCCTGGAACTAGCTCTTGTAGACCAGGCTGGTCTCGAACTCACAGAGATTTGCCTGCCTCTGCCTTCCAAGTGCTGGGATTAAAGGCTCGAGCCACCACTCCCCCATCCACTTAAAATGTGTAACCCAGGGTGGCCTTGAACTTATGATCCTCCTGCCTCTGCCTCCATCAGCAAATGCTGCCAGCGTGCGCCACCACAACCAGCCAGTTCTGTCTTCCCACTGTGTTGATTTGAAATCAGTTCTCAGGTTTAGTGGCAAGCTCTTTAACCAGCTGAACCATTTTCCCAGTTTCTCTGGAACATATTTGGTAAGAATGCAAGAAAGATCCAACTGTTTTTGAAGCTCTAGCGATTGCCCTGCCATTTGTGTACAAGTGGCTTTCCTTCTTTTTTGTTCTTTCTCTTTCTTCTTTTGAGACAGGCTCTTGTCTTGTAGGCCAGGCTAGCCTCAAATCCATGATCTTCCTGCCTCTGCTTCCTAAGTGATAAACAAGTGTCACTACACTCATCAGCTTCATCCTGTATTTAAAATACTACTTTTTTTTTTTTCTCGAGACATGGTTTCTCTGTGTGATCTTGGCTCTCCTGGAGCTCACTCTGTAGACCTAGAACTCACAGAGATCCACCACCACCACCTGGCTGAAATACCACTCATGTTTGGATTCATTTCTGAGATTTTACTGAGAGATACTGTTCAGTTGGTAGAGTTGCCTGGCAGGCATGAGGTCCAGAGTTCTATCGCCAGTGCTCGCTCTCTCTCTCTCTCTCTCTCTCTCTCTCTCTCTCTCTCTCTCTCTCTCTCTCAATTTCTCTCTTCCTCTCTCTCTCTAATGTCACACACACAGTTTCTCCAAACATTCATTTTGTTTTGTTTAGAGTATGTGTGTGCATGCATGGTTGTCTGGAAACATTGCCCCACTAGGCAGCCAAAGCTAGCCTGGAACCTGCTATGTAACTAACGTTGGTGTGTTATTCCAAGTCCTCCTGACTCAGCTTCCCAAGTGCAAAGACTGGAAGCAGGGTCACCACACCCAGCTGACTATTATGTTTTGATAACTGGTAACAAGGTATCTCTTATTAATTGTTCAGCATGTGCTGCTCCACCATGCTCATTTTTATCTTGAACTTCAGCACTATTTAACCAGGTTCCAAAGATAAATTATTCTAATGCTTTTACTAGAGACACTTAAAACCCTAATCTGCATGTCTACCTCCCTGTAAGAACTCAAGGCAAAGCACAAAAAAGATACAGGTTGTTGTTGCTGTTGTTGTTGTTATTGCCCTGAAACCTTAAGGCTATGAGGAAAAAAAAAAAGAAAGTCATTTGAGCCTTGCTATTCTTCTTTTTGTGACTATTCTTTGCTTTTGTTTGTTTTGTTTTGAGATGGTCTTACGTTGTAGACCCGACTGGTCTGTCACTTGGCCTCTAGTCCAAGCTATTCTCATCTGTTAGGAGCATTCTTCCCACCAGCCTGGGCCTACTGCCGAGTCAGCCCCCAAATGAACACACAGATGATTATATTAATTATGAAATGTTGGCCAATGACTAGGGTTTCTTATTGGCTAGCTCTGTCTTAATTATTAACCCATTTCTATTAATCCATGTATTTTCACATGGGCCTATCTTTCTGGGGAATGCTGGACCTGCAACTCCTGCAGGGCGTTTAAATCATATTCAGGTTATGTACATATGCCTGTGTGTCTGTATGTGGGTAAGGTCTCATGAGGAGGGCAGGTGCCCATGGAGGCCAGAAGGGGACATGTGGTCCCTCGGAGGTGGAGTTACAAGTGTTCGTAAGCTGTTCCACATGGGTTCTGGGATCTGAGCTCTGGTCCTCAGAACAGTGTGTGCTCTTAACCGTTAGCCCTCTCTTCAGCCCCTCACCTTTTGTTTTTGACACTCCTGTGTGTCCTTGTTGTAGCCAGAACAGAGGAAACCACTGAAATATGTTTAGCCAGTGTTCTCTGATGCTTATCTGTAGGGTCAGTACCTTCCATACAGTATTTTTTAATAATTACAACAACCCTATACTAATAGGTACAGTTCTCCCCATTTATAAGTTCAAGGATGGAGAGTCAGGTGGCTTTCCTAAAGCTAACTTATGCCAGGATGTGGACATAGGTAGCTGATTCCAGAGTCTGCCTTTAGCCACCACGCTGGTTTTTTTTTAGCTAAGCTTGTGAAAGGTCATGTTCCCATAAGTGCTCAGGTAAAACTCAGAGGAAGATGGGCAAGAGAGTGGTGTTTTGTTGTTGTTGTTGTTTGTTTTTGTTTTTCCTTTTATGAGCTGCTTTAAGGAAGTTAACTTAGTGGCTATCGTTAGCCTTGTTCTTAAGTCACCTGTCACTGCCAAAGGTAATTCCCACTTGGGTTGCTGGGGAAGACTGGGACAGAAGTGGAAAGGCTAATAAGAATCTCTCCTACACATTTTGTGCTTGATAGTTTTTTTCTTTTTCTTTATACTAGAATCAAAACGGTATACATTTCTTTTAAAACTATGGCAAGAAAATTGTTAGGGCCCGGAGGGGTAGTAATATTTCTATTCTTACATCTTACAAACTGATGTTCTCTTTAAATTGTGGTTCACAAACATTGGGTACATCTATTAAGCAAGGTAGTGAGCAGACAGCCTGGAAATTTTCTGACAGAAGAAAAGTCTGCGCATATGTGGCAAGCCTAAGAGGAAGTGGATTGGTCATGCCCGAAGCCTAACAAGGCTCAAATGATTACTGAATTGGATTAAGGGAAATGATCTCTATGAAAAGTGAGAGAAAAGTACTTCTCTGTCACCACTCCCACAAGTTAAACTCCCGTCAGCATTTAGGCATGTGGCAAATCAAGTGTCGCTCCATGAGAAAGAACTTGGCTCTCTAGGGCCTTAGATGTGATTCCCAGTATCCCATCCCCCAGAAAAGGCACTGGGAAGGTTGGTGACCTGGCACTACCTTTCCAGTTCAAAGTGCATTACATAGATGGCTGTTCAAGGAAATGTTTTCCTAAATTACTACTTCTGGATTTTATTTGTGTTAATGATCATAACTTATTTTATCCCACCTGCAAAACCTAGTAAGTCAAGAAGTCAACATAGCTTGATTACGATATACGAAAATATCACATAGATGGCCATTTTCTTTTCTTTTCTTTTCTTTTCTTTTCTTTTTACTTTAAGCTTAGTGAAAATCATGAAAATTATACTTTATTTTCTTTTTTCCCAGATTTTTTAATTTGAATTAGAAACAAGATTGTTTTACATGACAATCCCAGTTCCCTTCACTCTCCCATCCCCCCCCAACTAAAACCCTATCACATATCCTTTCTGCTCCTCCTGGGTGGTGGGGCCTTCCATAGGGTGGCTGACTCTGCTACAGAGCTACAGCCCAGTTCCTCTTTGCAGTTTACCCTGTGTGAGCATCCAAGTCCCCTTGTGCTGCTCACCCCTCAGACTCAAAATGTTTTCACCTGCTGATTTTATTTCCCCAGGCTTTGAAATGCTTTGTTGGCTAAGAAAGCATGTTACAGGGTGTGAGTTCCAGGACAGCCAGGGCTACACAGAGAAACTGTCTAAAAAGGAAAGTTCCTGTACAGTTAATCAAAGCATTCAGTAAATATGTGTCGTTTTGAATTCAGTTAATTGAAACCAGTAGCCGGTCTCCAAAGTAATGAAACTTTTTTTCTCCTTTCCTTAAGGATTATCATGGCTTCCAGCCACACCGTATTGATGCGACTGGTAGCCTCTGCATATTCTATTGCCCAGAAGGCAGGGACCATAGTCAGGTGTGTCATTGCTGAAGGAGACCTGGGCATCGTGCAGAAGGTACTGTAAACCTTGTCTACAGTCATGGTTTTTGTCCTCGTAGTAGGTAAAGAATGTCATGTTCTAGACCAACTAACAATAAAATGATGGAGATCGCAAGAGCCTTAGTTTCAGTATCTGCTTTGAAAATCATGCCAGACTGCATCCAAAGTCTTTGTATATATGATTGGGTCTTCTGTCCATAACAGATCCTAGTCTATTCCATACAAAACCATGCAACCTTAGAACATACAACATGTTTGAGAAGATCTGATGTTTAAATAAATACGTCTTACTCAAAGCTATAAAAGTCACATGTGGTGCCAAATAGCCATTCTCCCAGCATGTGGGAGATGAAGGCAAGAGGTTCAGAAGTTCAAGGCCAGCCTGAGCTATGCGAGACTTTGCCTCAACCCCATCTCCATCCTCACCCTCCCCCCCAAAAAACCCCAGAAATCCTTTCTAATGCATGAGTGAATCATCTTGAGGACCTCTGACATTACAAGGATGAGTGGGGGAATTGTAGAGGAAGCCGTTCACATACTGATGTTGGAGTATTTGGTTTCACTTCAAAACAAGTGTAAATTGATTTCTTTTCTGTTTGTTTTGATTTTGAGATAGGGTTTTGTTGTGCTGCCCTGGCTGGCCTGGAACTCACAGTGTATACCAGGCTGGCACAGGACTTCTGGTAAACCTGCTGCTTCTGCTTTTCAAGTATGAGATTATAAGAAGTATGTACACTGGTACATAGTTTCCTGTCTCTTAGCCTATGAGGAAGGTTGGTAACTGGAATCTTATAAAAGAATTTCTCAACTGGAGAGTAAGATATCCCAGGTAATTTAAAAGTACCTTTACTGGGGCTGGAGAGATGGCTCAGGGGTTAAGAGCACTGGTTGTTCCAGAGGTTCTGAGTTCAATTCCCAGCAACCACATGGTAGCTCACAACCAACTGTAATGAGATCTGGTGCCCTCTGCTGGTACACACTTTATACATGATAAATAAATAAATCTTTAAAAAAAAAAAAAAAAAGTACCTTTACAAACTTGAACCATCATGGAGCTGGGAATGCAGAATGAATGCGCTACCAATGCCCAGCTCACTTCCCAGTCTTTTTTTAGATTTATTCATTATGTACACAGTGTTGTGCCTGTGAGCTACCATGTGGTTGCTGGTAATTAAACTCAATAGCTCTGGAGGAACAGCCAGTGCTCTGAAGCACTGAGCCATCTCTCCAGCCCTCACTTCCCAGTCTTAATTGCTGTTAATTCTCTTAGAAGCATCTCTCCAGGGCATACAACTAGTGGTTTCATTTGGGCCTAAGCTCTGAATCTAAAATCTGAAAATATAGTGTAAATTATATGACTACTGTGTACTTGGGCGTGGGAAGACCATTTATCCTTAATTGTATTTCTATTGAGATTTGCATTCTTTGTTACAGACCTCAGCCACAGACCTGCAGACCAAAGCAGACCGCTTGGTGCAGATGAGCATATGCTCTTCCCTGGCACGCAAGTTCCCTAAGCTGACCATAATAGGGGAGGAGGTAAGAGCTCCCGTGCCATGTGGATTCATGACCGCCGTGCCATTGAGTCCCATGTCATGGTTATAGTCTCGGCATTGGAGCTAGAGTCTGAACACAAAAGTGCTCATATCCCCTAGAGGAGGTAATCAGGTTTTATATTATTTTGGTCCGGCACTTTGCAGAAAGTATTGGCCAATTCTCAGAGTTTCTTGGTGGAATCATGAGGGTCTGACACTTACAGCATCATATTCTCTGTAAGTAGGAATGCACTGACTTCCTCACTTCCTGGTTCTGTTGCTCTCTCCTTGTTCTTGCCCTGTTGCTCTAAGACTAAAACACGGTATTGACGTCCCTGACTTGTTTCTGATTTTAGTTTGGTGTTTGTTTGACAGGGTCTCATTATGGAGCCCAGGCTGGCCTTGAATTCTTCCGCTTTGACCAGTCAAGTGCTGAGATCACAGGTGCCCTGGGCTCCAATAAGAAGACTTTTTTCTGCTTTTCTGTCCTCACTCACATTGCCCCTTTTTTTGTGGTGCTCAGAGTTATACCCAGTCTGGTGCACACTGGGTAACACTGAGCTGCATCGAAAGTCCTACTGTAACTAGACACCCAGGTTCATAACCCACTGCCTCAGTATCCCAGCATTCCAAAGGAAACTGGGAAACAGAAATGTGTAAAGGAAAACGGATTCATTTACAATGTTAGACAGAGAAAAGTGATTGTGGTTCCTCCTAGATTTTCCTGAATCATGGTTTAAATGAAGCTAGAATCTAGCTATGAGGTTAAGTTATCAGAACTGTGAGATCTTCTGTGGGGGTGCCCCTTCCTGGTGCCCACATTTTGAATTTAGGGCAGTAGCTCCTGGGGAAATCCTAGTTCCTCACTTCATCTCCTCCAGCTCCTGCTCGTGTTTCACTAGGTTTGCCAGAAAAGCTCTGGGCATAAGAGGTGAACAGAAGTGGCTAGGGACCCAGCTGCCCCGTTTGGGTAGGGACAGGATGCATTGTGGGGGCAGAGGGCTTCAGCAGTGTCCCCGTGTCTGCTGCAGGACCTGCCTCCGGGGGAAGTGGACCAAGAGCTGATTGAAGACGGGCAGTGGGAGGAAATCCTGAAGCAGCCGTGTCCCTCGCAGTACAGCGCTATCAAAGAGGAAGACGTAAGGCCCACCTTCATGCTCCGCGCTCTCTGTTAGCCTGTGTCCGTAAGAGGAAAGTGTGCGGTTACAAAGTAGTGGAGTTGGCTCAGAGTCCTCCAGAGCCAGCAGAAGCAGCAGGATCACACAGACACGTGGCCGACCCCAGCTCACGGTCCTGTCCTGTAGGCCTCCCCTGCCCTCTGAAACCATCATTAAAAGCATTTTTAGTGAGAAAGTCTCCTCTGCTGCTCAGTAGATTTGGTAACAAAGCATTGTGTGGGCAATGGAGTGGAGAGATGGGTTGGCAGATAAGAGCACCGGCTGCTCTTGGTGAGGATCCAGGTTCAGTTCCCAGCAACCACACTGGGTGGCTAACAGCTGCCTGTAACTCCAGCTCCTGGGGGATTCTAGTTTTAAATTATTTAAGATTTCACTTACAGAATAATTACTATGAGGAAGAAATTCTGTGGGAATTTCTGTGGGAAGAGCAATAAAAAGATAATGAGACATGGCATCAGGAATGTGTCAGAAATTCATACTCAGTTTACTGAGTGCGTGTGCAAGCATATTCTAAATCATGTTGGAAGGGACTTCTCTTTTAGTCTAGTGCCTGTTTCATGAGCCATTCCATTTTCTTAGGTTATTGTGATCCCTCCTTAAGATAATCAAACTTTTTGTCTGTTTGTTTGTTTGTTTTTGGTTTTTTGAGACAGGGTTTCTCTGTGGCTTTGGAGGCTGTCCTGGAACTAGCTCTTGTAAACCAGGCTGGTCTTGAACTCACAGAGATCTGCCTGCCTCTGCCTCCCAAGTGCTGAGATTAAAGGTGTGCGCCACCACTGCCCAGCTTTTTGTTTGTTTGTTTTTGTTTTTTTGAGACAGGGTTATTTATGTTTTAAATCAGCACGTACAGACCTGGAGTGGTGGCGCACGCCTTTAATCCCAGCATTTGAGAGGCAGAGGCAGGGGCATCTGTGAGTTTGAGGCCATCGTGGTTTACGTAGTAAGTTCTATGACAGCCAGGGATATGTAGAGAGACCCTGTCTCAAAACACTGAAGAAGGAAAAAAAAAATCGGCATGTAAATATAAAATGAGTAACAACCTTAGATTGTTTGAAAGTCTCAGTGCCATGTGGAAATTTTTCCCCATATCGCCATCTAGAGCTACCTGAGTTCATGACAGTATGCTTAGTGTTCAAGTGGCGGCCAACATTTATCAGCTGTATTAAAAAACCATGGCAAGGGTTCTTAAACAGCCTTTGGTTTACTTTAAATGGACTTGCTCCATGATTGTGAAGCTTTGGGTTTTTTTTTTAATAATCACAAAGCTGATGGTGTTGACTTAGCCATCTATAATAATGTGTTCAAACATATTAAAAGGGGGTACTTCTGTTAATTCTCTCTGAATTTTACATGCATAATAAGAATATTTCCTCTCTCTTATTTTCCCATTTTTACTTTGCAGCTTGTGGTTTGGGTTGACCCCTTAGACGGCACCAAGGAATACACCGAAGGTCAGTATCTCTTGGCCACACGTACAGCGCTGAGGCAGGGCTGTGACACATGAATGTGCTGTTGCTGGATCAGATGAAGAGTTGCAGTGTTCTGTCTGGTGTCATGCATGAGTGCCAACTAGAAGAGTTCATCTTCAGATGCCCACCCCCACGTACTCTATCAGCTCCAGTTCTGAGGTCCCCACATGGGAGACGCCATCACTGTAAACCTTCTTACCCCAGGGACTGTGAGAAGACTGTGTTTTCTTGGGTTAGAAAAATGTCAAGCACGGCTGTGCTGCCCCAGCTCCACCACAGCCGGTCCCTCAGCGTCCTCTCAGCCCCTCATCCCAGTCCCTCAGCGTCCTCTCACCCCCTCACCCCAGTCCCTCAGCGTCCTCTCCCCCCCTCATCCCAGTCCCTCAGCGGCGTCGCAGTCCCTCAGCGTCGTCTCAGCCCCTCAGCGTCCTCTCCCCCCCTCATCCCAGTCCCTCAGCGGCGTCGCAGTCCCTCAGCGTCGTCTCAGCCCCTCAGCGTCCTCTCCCCCCCTCATCCCAGTCCCTCAGCGGCGTCGCAGTCCCTCAGCGTCGTCTCAGCCCCTCAGCGTCCTCTCCCCCCCTCATCCCAGTCCCTCAGCGGCGTCGCAGTCCCTCAGCGTCGTCTCAGCCCCTCAGCGTCCTCTCCCCCCCTCATCCCAGTCCCTCAGCGGCGTCGCAGTCCCTCAGCGTCGTCTCAGCCCCTCAGCGTCCTCTCAGCCCCTCATCTCAGTCCCTCAGCGTCCTCTCAGCCCCTCATCCCAGTCCTGCAGCAGCCCCCTTAGGGGAGAGCGAGGGACTGCTGTGGGTGAACCATTGCCAATTCCCTACCTTTACTGCAAGAATAACTAGCATTCAGGGGTGGTGCCACATGCCTTTAATCCTAGCATTCAGGGGGCAGGAATTCGAGGCCAGCTTGGAGAATGAGTTCTGGAACAGCCAGGGCTACACAGAGAAACCCTGTCTGGAAAAGCCAAAAATTAAAATAATGATGCTAATAATGAGACTCATGGCTGTTTGATGTACTGGTGGTAACCGTGAGAGAGTGACATACTTAATTCTTTTCTTCATAGGTCTTCTTGACAATGTGACTGTTCTTATTGGGATCGCTTATGAAGGAAAGGCCATTGCAGGCATCATCAACCAGCCATATTACAACTACCAGGTACTGCTACCGGTGACACATAAGTATAGATACATAGCTACAGTGGTCTAGTGAGTCCAGATGCCATCCAGTCCACCTGTTAGCTCACTCACTCATTTGCACGAGCAGCCACTTGGGGGTGGGGCCTCTCAAGGTTCAGCCTCCCAGGCAGCTGTTCACCAACTGAATTAGACCTTTCTGAGGGGATTGGGCCAGGAATGTAGATGTGGGTGAATAGATCGTGTGCACTGTACTTTTGATATGTTTGTGATTCAGTCGCAATAGTTTGCAAAGGACCCTCTTGGTTCTCGATTGGCGTGACCATCAGGACACCTGGTTTACAGGTAGTTCTTGAAGCACACTGAGGGAATGAACCTTGTCAACAAAGAACAGACACTAGCCATGTTGCTTCCCCGGTAATGCTGCGCAGTACCTGGATCACTGTCAGTCCAGGTAGCCAGTCACTGATGCTTGTAGCTCCTCCCTCCTGCTTTGTTTCTTCCAACCTGCTCTGGCTTCCTGCTGTACTATGGAGTGCTGTCTCCTTTAGAAACAAGGGACCAGTATAATTTCAGGGCAAAAACTATAGCACTGAATTTTATTGAAATACAATACTTAAAGTTTCATATTAATGTGAACTTGATAAACTTTGTAAAACAAGCTAACCAGAATGAGGGCTATCTCTCCTGAATGTCTGATGTGAGAACAGACTTCATATTTAGGTATGACGTGAGTCTGTTTGCTCCTGCTGCTTACGAGATTAGAAATGTAATTATTTCTTGTGGTTCCCCAGAGTGGCTCCACACTGTTAGTCCAGCCAGAGTGAAATGTTTGGGATGTTTGGGTGTTAATCCTGACAGTGTGGCTTTGCTGTCTGGACTGTAGTACACTTGGGCATGGGTTTGGGACTTTATCACTGTTCCTTAAAAGAAGGGTATTTAATGCATAGAAAGAAAAAAAAAGGCATGCATGGCCCCTTTTATCAAAAATAGAGATATAAGAACTTAGGAATTGTTAATGATTTTCATCCCTTATTTCCGAGACTAGAAAACTTGTATTCATTTTCCACAGAGCAATGAAAAGCAGAAGTTAAGGGAGCAGAGGAAAGAAGCGAAGGTGAGAAGCAGCTAGGGCTTGGGTTCCAGTGCTAGGGAGGAAAGAGCAGGCACTGTGGCAGCCGGTTCGTCCTGTGAGCCGGTTCATTTCCTCCTGCCCAGCACTCTTCCTTCGTCTCCCTGTGCTGTGTCCTCTTCGCCCTCTTTGCCTCTGAGTATGCCTTAAAATGTGTGGCAACAAGCAGAAACGGAAAGGTTGGTGGCTGCCGGTGGTCAAGGCCGAAGACGCATCAGAGCCTCAGTGTATGGGGCACTCACTGTGCTGCTGTGCGCAAGGGATTCACATGTGTTACCGCTTCTGACACGCACCACACACCTTAAGGAAGCGGTTATGTCCACATTAAAGAAAAGCACACTAGCTGACCTGCTGTTGCAGGCCTGTGATCACAGATTCTCAGGAAGCCGGGGCCAGAGCATTGCAAGTTCTGGGGATGCCTGGGCTACAGAATGAACTCAAGACCAGCCAGCAACAAAGTGAGACTGTCACAAAATAAAAAGCAAGAAAGCAAGAGGGCTGGGGACACAGCTCAGTGGTCGAGTTCCTTCCTGGCAAGAGCAAGGCCCTGGGTTCAATCCCTAGAAATGAACTCACATGCACACTCACGCGACTACACACACACACACACACACACACACAGAGACACAGAGAGAGAGAGACAGACAGACAGACAGACAGAGACAGAGAGAGAGACAAACAGACAGAGACAGAGAGAGAGAGAGAGAGAGAGAGAGAGAGAGAGAGAGAGAAAGAGAGAGAGAGAGAGAGAGGAAACTGAAGTACTGAACTTGTCAGTGTCACCCATTGGGGAAACAGCAGAGCTGGGATTCAAAGTGAATTTCAAACTCTACTTTTACTCTCTAATACTCTCTTGAGTAAGGTAAAGGAACTGCAAGTTTATTTCTGATTCTGGAAGTACTGACTGATGAAACTCCATCTGTCTTTGTGTTGGAGCTAGCTTCTTAACCAGAGTTAACAGCAGCATCTCCTCTGGAAGGACAAGCCCTAACCTTCCTGTGGAGTTTTTGCAAGAAAGAACAGGAGAACAGGATATGGAAGGGGAGGATGGATGGCGCGGGTGGTGGCGCACACCTTTAATCCCAGCACTCGGGAGGCAGAGGCAGGCGGATCTCTGTGAGTTGGAGACCAGCCTGGTCTACAAAGCTACAGAGAAATCCTGTCTTGGGAATAATAAAAAAAAAAAGAACAGGATACATGAGATCAAGAGCCCACCCAGAGGAGAGCAGGACACCAGGGTCCTTAGGCATATCTTCTTGTCTTCCCAGTCATTCACAAAGGGAGTATGAACTCTTTTTATTTTGTTTGTTCATTCGTTTGTTTGTTTTTTGAGACCAGTTTTCTCTGAGTACCCCTGACTGTCCTGGAATTCCCTCTGTAGACCAGGTTGGCCTCGAACTCACAGAGATCCGTTTGCCCTGAGTGCTGGGATTAAAGGTGTTTGTCACCATTGCCCATGGGACTCTTTCTTTTTGAAACACGCTCTCATTGTGTTTTTCATGCTGTCCTGGAACTCACTCTGTGCCCAGGTTTGTCTTTCTAAGTGTTGAATTACACAACAGCCTTCTGGGCGTCTGGGGCTGCCATTGAGAGGCCTACGGTAGAGTCAGGAGGAAAGAGAGGAGGCGTGCTGACATCCCAAGCAGCAGGTACTTGGTTTGGTTCCTCTGTTGCTCCGTGGCAGGAGGCATAGTCAACAGTCAGCCTCCCCTGTGAAGAGCCTCCCTACCCCAGGTCATAACCCTTCCCAAAGCAGTCTGTTTACTCTGACTAGAAAGAGCAGGTGTGGAAAAGCCTGGCATTTCCTCCTGATTTGGGACCACTCTGAAGAGCTGCTTGAGCTCTGGTGCTCCCCCACAGTCACAGCCGGAGCTGTGGCCTGGCCACACCGTGCCCCGCTTCCCCTTTGCCCACAGGTGCTGATCCCACACACACTCCATGACAGCCACTCCCTGGCCCTTCCTGGGGCACACAGCCTGCAGCATAAGCTGGTTATACCCTGAAAGTGCCAGTGCACTTCTCTAGGAGGACTAACTGGTGACTTTGAAAACAACTGGACAAGTCAGCTCAGGTTGCCCAGTGTCCGCTTTGATGGACAGTGACACTAACCTGTAGTCCTGCCTACTTAGAAGTCAAGGTCACCCAGGCCAAGGCAGTGAGACCCCCATCTCAAAAGCAACACAAAGCAAAATCAGAACAGCTTTGCAGAACTGCAGAGATGACCCAGCAGTTGGGAGCACTGGCTGCTCCTGCAGAGGACCCGGGTTGGATTATCAGCACCCACTTGGCTGTTCATGCCCAAGTTTGAGCACACATGGTGCACATACACACATGTAGGCAAACACTAAAACACATAGATTAAAAATAAGTCTTTTCGCCGAGTGTTGGTGGCACATGCCTTTAATCCCAGCACTCAGGATGCAGAGGCAGGTGGATCTCTGAGTTCGAGGCTAGTCTGGTCTACAGGGTGAGTTCCAGGATAGCCAAGGCTACACAGAGAAATCCTTTCTCAAAAAACCAAACATACATGCATACATACATACATACATACATACATACATACATACTAGGTCTTTTTGAGGCCAACCCCATTTAATACAGTTTCAGGGTAGCCATATCTCCAAAAACAAAATAAAACAAAAAGAGCTCTGAATCTGGATGAGCTGGTTTTGAGGGCAACTTCCTAGGCTCCTCAGTCAGTTTCTTAACTGATTCTAAGCCTCATTGTTAAGGATAATTAAGATTTACTTTCTGGGTTGCTCTGAGTATCAGATGGGCTGATGGATGCATAAAGAATGTAGTGTGGCCCTGACACACTCTTGCTGAATGAGTCACATGCCTGTTCTCACACTACATGTCCCTGGCTGATTCAAAACTTGTTGAGTTTGGACTTCTTGTGTTAGAATCAATTTTAATTTTTCCAAACTATGTTTATTTACGTGAACTATGTATTTAGCAATGTGGTTGCAACGTCTCTGAGCTCCACAAAGGAAGACACGGATTCTAAGATTGTGCTGTCCTTTCAATCAGGGCATCTGTCATTAAAATCTTAGCCTTGTCTCCCCTGTCCATAGCTTTCTGCAACGTCAGCCTGTTTGTTTGCTCAGTGTCCTATTATCCCTTGAATAATGAAAGTAGCACCCTGTGTGTGAGTACAGCATTATTGCTCTAACAATGATCAGCACAGAGTTGCACTTCCTGGAACTTCAATACCTTAGAAAAATGGTTGTTTTCACTTTAACAGACAGATTGGTGGATGATTCCAAAATAAACAGCAGTCAGAGCAGGACGGTCACTCTCCTGAGGACAGAAGTGTCCCCTTTCTTTCAAACTGTTGGCCAAAGAAAACAGCAATAAGGATAATCAAATTATTATCAGGATAAATTCTTTGTCTCTTTGCTGTCCTTATATTTATAACATTGAGTGTTTTTACTTTTGTAACTGAAAAATATATCCATTATTACAAACTTGGTAAATCACTGTGTCCTCTGTGGCTGACATCTTTCTCCAGTGACGTGAGCTTTGTTGTCATTCGCACAGGCAGGCCCTGACGCTGTGCTGGGCAGGACCATCTGGGGAGTTCTGGGTTTGGGTGCCTTTGGGTTTCAGCTAAAAGAGGCACCGGCTGGGAAGCACATCATCACAACCACCAGGTCCCATAGCAACAAGCTGGTCACAGACTGCGTTTCAGCCATGAACCCCGACAACGTGCTGCGAGTCGGGGGAGCAGGAAACAAGGTACCACGGCACATGAAATACACTGTCAGTGAACGAGATGCCCCCTCCAGAGTGGTCTCTATTCAGTCCAGTCTTCACAGACACCAGTAAGACAGTTGAATGCAAAACACAGCCCGGTGTGTGTTGCACATTTGCAGTCCTGCACTGGGGAGATGGGCACAGGAGGATCAGGAGTTCTAGGTTATCCTTGGCTGTAAGTCAAGTTTGAGGCCAGCCTGGACTACAGGAGCCTCTGTCTCAAGGAAACCAAATAATACCAATCGATAATAATGACTCATAATTAAGGAGCAAGGGTTCTGAAGTCTGGGAAAGTACCTGGTAGACTAGCCAGCACAGCATACCTGCCAGGCTTGTCCCTCGTGGTGCTATGGACTAGTTCTCTATTACTTAGCAATGGCCACAGTTTTTTAGAAATTTAAAAACAGTACTTGTCCAATAGTGAATATGTATTTCCTCTATAGTAAGAAAGAAAAACCATGTGAATAAGAAAGTTTAATCTAACTTGGACTATAGATTGTGGCTTATTTGGTCCTATTTTTTTCTGTTTAGATTAGTATGTATTATTATTGTTCACCCATTTTATTTCTTTATAATGCTGGTGTCTTTTAATCTAAGCCTGACAGGAACTGGTGAAATGTCCGAGGTGGGCATCAGCAGTTCTTCTCCTTGGCAGCTTGGTCTTTACTTGGTGGGGTAATTAGTACTTTTCACCTTACAGATCATCCAGCTGATTGAAGGCAAGGCCTCTGCTTATGTATTTGCGAGTCCTGGCTGTAAGAAGTGGGATACTTGTGCCCCGGAAGTTATTTTACATGCTGTGGGAGGTGAGTCCAGTTAATCCTGGAGAACTCTAGTTTTTATATTGTACTCGGGCATTATATTTCAGTAATATTCTTTTTTATGGTAATTTTATGTGGGTGTTTGGTCTGCATGTATGTCAATGTGCTACATGCATGCCTGGTGCCCTTGGAGGCCAGAAGAGGGTGTTGGATCACCTAGAATTGGAGTTACTGACAGTTGTAAGCCTCCTGTGTGGTTGCTGGGAATGAAACCCACGTCCTGTGGCAGGACAGTCATGAAGAATGCTGTAACTGCTGAGCCATCCCTCCAGCCCCCAGTTAACAGTCTTCCCCTAGATTCCTAGAGTGAAGATACTGGAGGGAAGCCCAGCAAAGATATTTTCAACAAACTGAATTTTCTGTAGTTTATAGTCTTTAGTGAGAATGGATTTCATCTTCATACAGTTAAATCAAACTCTCATTTTGTTGTTGTTGCTGTTTCTCTGTTTCATGGAGACAAGGTTTCACTGCAGCCTTGGCTGGCCTTGCACTCATTATGTGACCCAGGCTTAGAAACTCAGAGCACTTCCTGCTTTGCCAGAGGACATGAATTCAGTTCCCAGCACCCACATCTGGTGGCTGACAACCACCTGCAGCTCCAGCTGCGATCTGTCTCCTCTGACATTTGCTACCACACTCATACACACACACACACACACACACACACACACACACACAGGAAAAGAGAGAGAGAGAGAGAGAATAAATTTCTTTTAAAGTCAACCCCCTGTCTTTAAAAGATTAGAAAATGGATGTGGGGTTAGTTATAACTCCATGGTAGAGCATCAGGCTGACGTGTGAGGCCCTAGTTTTAAGTCATCTAGACACAAGCTGAGAGAAGGGAGCCTCAACTGAAAAAATGTCTCCATAAGATTGGGCTATAGGCAAGCCTATAGGGCAGTTTCTTAATTGGCGATTGATGGGGAGGGCCCAGCCCATTGTGGGTGGTACCATGCCTGGGCTGGTGGTTCTGAGTTCTATAAAAACAGCAGGCTGAGCCAGGCAGTGCTGATGCATGCCTTTAATCCTAGCAATTGAAAGGCAGAGGCAAGTGGATCTCAGTGAGTTCAAGGCCAGCCTGGTCTACAGAGAGAGAGAGAGTTCCAGGACAGCCAAAACTGTTACACAGAGAAAGCCTGTCTCGAAAAACCAAATAAATAAATAGAGTAGGCTGAGTGATCCATAGAGAGCAAGCCGGCAAACATCGCCCCATGGCCTGGGCATCAGCTGCTGCCTCAGTGAATTGTGATTCAGAGCAAGTAAGACAAATTAACCCTTTCCTCCCCGTGTTGCTCTTGGTCATGCTGTTTCATCATAGTGATAGTAACCCTAAGACAGGCAGACAGACAGACAGAAAACGTTTTGGGAAGTACATCATATAGTAAGAGAAATTGATACCAAGAAGTTTGATTACGTGGCTAAAGAGATGGTTCAGTGGTTAAGGCCGCTGGCTGTTCTTGCAGAGGACTCAGGTTCCAGATCCCAGTGTCCACATGGGTGTTTCAAAACCATCTGTGATTCCACTTCCAGTGGACATGGTGCTCTCATCTGTCCTCCAGGGGCACCAGGCACTCATGCGGTACATAATACACACATGCAGACAAAACTCTAGACACATAAAATAAATATCTTTTCCTAACCCTAACTCTAATGAATAAATATCTTAAAAAAAAATAAGTAAGAATGGGGCTGAGCAGTTAAGAATACTGACTATTCTTCCAGAAGACCCGGGTTCAATTCCCAGCATCCACATGGCAGGTCACAACTGTCTGTAACTCTAGTTCCAGGGGATCTGATGTCTTCACCCCAATGCACATAAAATAAAGGTTAAATAAATTTAAATATAAGTAAGAAGAAAGAAAGAGCATAGGGCAGTAGTTCAGTGGCGGAGCTCACCTTTGGCATACAGGAGGCCCATGGTTTAGTCTCTACTTCCAAATACAGGAGGGAGGCAGGAGGGTACCTGGCTGGAAAAGGCTGTAATCCTAGAACTTGTGAGGTACAAGCAAAATCACTGCAAGTTCTGGGCTAGCCTGGGATACCTAGTAAGTTCCAAGCCAGCCAGGGCTAGCTAGTGAGAGCTTGTTTAAAAAGGTGCCTGGCAGGGAGTGGATAGGAGGGAAGGAAGGAGGGGAAACGGCCATTAGGATGTAATATATAAAAGAAATAATTTTTTAAAACTATTTTTTTATTAAAGGTCAAGCCTGGACAACATAGACTTTTTTTCAAAAACAAAAAGAAACAGAGCTTGGGATGTAGCTCAGTGGCAGAGTGTTTATCAAGGGCTCATGAAACCGTAGATTTAATCTACAAAGTCATTAAAGAACAACTCGAGTGGGTTAGGGCACAGCTCACTAGTAAACCATGTGCTTAGTGTGAGCCCCGGGTTCAGTGCTCCCCCTCCTGTCCCCCAGGGAAGAACCCTAGAAGCATCCTGACCCGACGCCACATTAACCTGGTGTGCGTTCCTCTGCAGGGAAGCTGACAGACATCCACGGGAACGCCCTGCAGTACAACAAGGAGGTGAAGCACATGAACTCTGCTGGGGTCCTGGCCGCACTGAGGAATTACGAGTACTACGCCAGCCGAGTTCCAGAGTCTGTGAAAAACGCACTGACTCCCTGAAGGGCCGTTTCACTCACTCACCCGGAGGACTTGGTTCTCACAATAGCACACCGTAGAATTGATTGAACAACTAGAGCTCATCATTGATCAGTGATTTGTATCAGTAGTTAGGAATAGAAGAAGGATTAAGGAATCTCACTGTATGTAGTCTAGTACTCTCATGTCTTAGGCGTATAATTCATTTTAATTGTCGTTTCTCCTGCCTAAAAGTAATTGGCCAGGTGTGGAGGCCCATGTGGTAGTCACAACTATCCCAGTGGTTGAGCCAGGAGGACCACGTGAGCCCAGGGCCTCCACTACATAGCAGGGTGCTGCCAAAAGGAATTTAGTTTTATCATTCATTAGCTAACCAGACCAATTGTTTTGACATCTGGATAGTTTTAAATTTTAATGTCTTAAGTGATCTTGGTTTGTTTGTTTGTTTGTTTGTTTGTTTTTGGTTTTACTTTTGTTTTTTGAGACAGGGTTTCCTCTCTGTGTAGTCCTGGCTGTCCTGGAACTCCATCCGTAGACCAGGCTAGCCTCCAAATCAGAGATGGCTCTGCCTCTGTTTCTCGATTTCTGGGATTAAAGGCATGTTTTTAATTGGAGAAATGAAAAAGGATTAGTTCCAAATAACTGTCTAGGTCATTTGTACATTCAACATTCCTGCTTATAAACTGGATTTCTTCAGGACAGAATCTTTGTTGTTGTTGTTGAGACAGGGTTTTTCTTTGTAGCCCTGGCTGTCCTGGAACTTGCTCTGTAGATCAGCCTGGCCTCAAACTCACAGAGGTCAGCCTGCCTTAGCCTCCGAGTGCTGGCATTAAGGGTGTGCACCACCACTGCCCAGACAGGACCCAGATTCTTAAGTTGTGCCAGAATTTCACTTTTTTATTTTCACAGTAATTTTTTAAAAATTTCTGACTCCACCTGAAAATGCATATAATGAGATTATTTATGTTGATAGATTTATGGGGAAAGTTTCTTTAAAATAAATTATTTACTCATAGATCTTCATACTATGTGTCAGTTTTCCTTTCAAAAGTATTTGAAACTTATAAATACTATGGGGGTTAATTTATTCTCTTGTTTTCATTAAAAGGCATAATTGTAAAGTTGGGTAATTGGCCTTTATTCCTTCCACTGAGAGAATGTAACTTGCATTAGCTTGATTGCCACCTTGACTAGACTGAGAAGCCCTGCCCAGATCAGGAAACAGGGTTTCTTTCCAGAAAAAAAATGAACCAAGCTGGAAGAACAGTTGTGAGTGTGAGCAGCTAGCATTGTCTGGGGGCCAGCCTCCAGCAGCACAGGGCTTTTGACAGAAATCCACGATGTCGAACAGACTAAATTTTTCTCACAAACTCTCTCTTCAATATCCTTCTTTATTCTCTTGTCTCTTTATTCTGTCTGTCTTTCTCTCTCTGTGTGTGTCCTCTCTTGTTTGTGTCACAGCTTTTATACCCCAACAGAACCTTCCTGGCAGTACAAGAGTCAAAACAGTTGTGTTCCATTTCTCAAGTGAATGATTATAGGCAAAAAAAAAAAAAAAAAAAAAAAAAAAAAAAAACCACCACCTTGATTAAACGTTTTATGTATTACAGGTGAAAAACAAATTATTCCAAGAACCCACATATATTCATACCCAAGCAACCTGTTATAGATTAACCATGTGGGCAAGCAAGGTGCTCTTGTGAGGTCTTTTACTGGCAGGCTGCATTCTGTAGTTACAGACAAAGGGCCAATCACTTTATTACTTTTCTTGAAAGATAACCTTATAAGGAATCTTAAAGGAATCACAAACCAAAGCTTTTATTTGTGAAAAAGAATCAGTCAGCTCTACTTTAAATCTTTAGGGTGCACATTCATTCATTAATAGTCTTTTTTATATCAGGAAATTGAGAGAAGAAATGAACATAAGGAATTAATCATCACCTTTGGTCATCAGCCAAACCTAGCAAGGAGAGTGCGTCAGCCAGGAATAATTGGGCTGCTTTCTTCTTGTTCCCTGACCTTAAAGAGTTCCACATTTTTAACCATGTGCCTTTCTAAAGCTTTAGATTGTCTTCTTGGGTTTTTTTGTTTTGTTTTGTTTTGTTTTTTTACCGCAAAGTTATTTAACAAAAACATGTTAGTCTTTGTTGTTTTCAAAGCTTTGTTTCAGCTATGATGCACTCCGAGTTCTGTGAACTCATCTCCCGACATTAAGGTTAAAAGACTTTACACCAGCTGAGCTACTGGGACTCAATTGTTAATCCTTAACTTGAGCTACAATCCGTGCAGCTCCTTAGGTGAAACTCATAGACCCTGGCTGTGAAACATGCCTTTGTGTTTATTTTTATTCACCAAAACTCTGTATGAACTATCATTATTATTATCAAATGAGACAGCAGTTAGGGAGGGGTCATCTTCTTGACAATCCACAAGTGAAAATGCCCTGTAGAAGGGGATGTTTCCAAGAGATAAACACACTGTATGGCAGGCAGTGGAGATCTCCCCACATCCACTCACACCAAGCTAGATTCCAGAGAGAGAGAGAGCTGCGACACACATGTGAGGGCACAGCAGAAGCAAAAGACATTCCAGGGTCTGCAGTCCCATGGCCTCGCCTAACCCAGATTGGCCCAACACAACTGTCTGTCTCAGGGTATCCAGCACCCTCCTCTGGCCTCTGCAGGCACCAGGCACATACGTGTTGCACAGACATACATGCAGGAAAAAACACTCATACATGTAAAAGTAAATTTGAAAAAGTCAAGCTCCCGTATTCAAAGTCTGCTTGGTTTGGCCTTTGCCTTCAGGATAAACTTGAGGTTCCTCATAATGGTGTGTGAAACTCTTAGTGTCCTGGCATCTTCCCTGTCAAGCATGAGCTCTGATTATATACCACATCTTACTCAACCATTCAGTGTTGCCCCAGGAGACTATGTGTACTCAAATATTAATGCAGCATTCACTGTAGGCTAATCACTTCAAACAGGTCCTGTCCATTCAGCAGTAGCCATGGCACTGACCAGAAGTCTGTTCCTTTGTAAGTTATTTCATAATTGTGTTAAGTTCTGTGGAAGAAATTGACTTGAAAGCAAGTGAGGTGAGAAGTCTAACAGGGAGTCTCCTCTAGAATCTGGATGAAGGAAGTATGTCTCCTCTAGGGGAGTGATATCTGAAGTTAAGAGCAAGACAAGGAATTCAGCATGCTACAAGCTAAGGTTTCATGTGCGAATAACAGGCACACCTCTAAGAGAAAGAAAACAGAAAGCAAGTCACTATGGCTATAGTAAAATGATTATGTGGCTGGGGTGAACTAGTACTTCTTTTTCTTTTTAAAAGATTTATTTATTGTGCATATAGTGTTCTGCCTGCATGTATGCCTATATGATAGAAGAGGGCACCAGATCTCATTATAGATGGTTGTGAGCCACCTTGTGGTTGCTAGGAATTGAAGTCATGACCTCCGGAAGAGCAGCTCTTAAACCTCTGAGCCATCTCTCCAGCCCCTAAGTACTTCTTTATGGTTCTAAAAATGATAAAATGAAGCTGAGTGTGGTCTTTAGTTACATCACATCTGAAGGGGGAGGATTGTTTAAAAACTTTACAGAGTTTCAATAACTCCTTGCCAACTGCATGTGAATCCCCCACAATGATGTACATATGCATACCTGTTGCCGGTGAAAAATGTTCAGTGGTGCTCTAAATGAAATGGTTTTGTGGAAATTAAACAGACAAGTCAAAGCACCTGAATTAGTGGAGTCTTTGTCATTTGTGGTGGCTAATTTGTTTTTTTGCAGTGACTAATTCTTTACTTAATAATGCCTCAGTCTGGGGGCTGGAAAGATGGCTCAGAGGATAAGAGCACTGCCTGCTTGCTCTTCAGAGGACCTGAGTTCAATTCCCAGCAACCACATGGTGGCTCATAAACATCTGTAATGAGATCTCTGCCCTCTCTGACCTGCAGGCCTACATGTAGGCAGAGCACTGTATACATTATAAATAAATAAATAAATAATTTTAAAAATAGTGTCTCGGTCTGTTTCTCACCACTGGGACCTAGCTGGTCTCTCTACATTCCAGCTCCCCATCAGCTACCGCTGCAGCACGACAGGCATCTTCTAATGGTTTTCCATGACTGTGACAGGTACCTGAGATAGTCAACTTACAGAGAGACGGTGTCTCATCAGGCTCCGAGTTCTGGAGGTTCTAGTCTACGAACAATTGGCCCTGCTGTCTGGGAGCTGGGAGATAGGACAGTGCATCCTGCTGGGAACCTGTGGTGGTGCAAATAACTTCTCACCTTGTAGCTGGGAGTGAAAAAGAGAAGTAGAGCTCACTCTTTGCTTTACTATCTTACCCCAGAGCCCAGGGAAACTTAGGCCCCACCTCTTAATATTTCTAGCATCTTCCAGCCTCCCTTTTGGGTTTCAACCAGATCTATCCAAATGTGGTGCTGGAACTTAGTCCAAAATAATGGAATCCTGTCATTTTATTTAATAAGTCCAAGTCTCCAGTTTTCCCAAGTTTTTAAGGGGCTAAAAAGAACTTTGAGGTTTTATAGATCAGGCAAAGGAAGGGATGGGGTGTGCCTAGCTAATGAGCAGTCAAACCAGTGCTCAGGTTGATGCAATCTCAAGTCTGGATCTGTAAGGAATTCCTAAAATCATTGCTGTCCTTAGCGGGACACAATCTTGTTATTATGAAATGATTGCTTTTGCTTCAGGCTGTACTGTCATCAAGAATGGGTGGGGTGAACTGACGCTCCTTTGTGTTTGAGAGTGTTTTGGTCCTGTGGCATAAAGTTGTTCATAGATTGAACTTATCATCCCAGGAATTCAAGGTAATGCTAGAAGAGTATGACTTGGGGTGAGGCAAGGAGAGGTAGAAATGAAGCCGGAAGGGAACCAAATGGTATTAAGTTCACTGGCTGACGCCACCTTTCATCCCATTGTAGTAATAGGTACCTTGACGACTCCACAGAATGTCAGTGTATAAATGTAGCCATCTTTGGTAGTGGTTCTGAGGCAAGGAACCAAAGAAATAGCAAACCTAAAACTGCATGAAAAGATTGAGTCTCCCTAATGAATACGTGGACATGTTGCTGAGATTAATGGAAAGTAAGGGAAGATCTGTACTGGTCTCTGAAATCATCCTGCCCCTTGAACTTGAACTTCAACCTTTGGAAAAACCCTGCGCAAACACACCCATCACAGAGAATTTAGGGGCTAGAGAGAAGGCTCAGAGCCTAGGAGCAATGGCTACTCTTCCAGAGGATCCTAGTTAGGTTCCTTGCAATTACATGGCAGCTCACAACTGCCTATAATTACAGTTCCGGGAGATCTGGCACCCTCACACAGACATACATGTAGGCAGAACACTAATACACATAAAATAAAAAATAAATTAAAAAGAAAACCCTCTGAAAGATGCTTATACTCCAAAACAAAACAAATTAGGACAGCAGTGAGGTTTTGGTTTTTACATTTGAGCAATCTAGTCAGGACTCTGTCCTTGAAATACTAGACATAACTCTCAGCCCAGACGTATTTCTTGGAGCCCTTTGTAAGTCTTTTGTTTTGTTTGTTTGTTCATTTGTTCTTCCAGACAGGGTTTCTTTGTGTAGCTTTGGAGCCTGTCCTGGCCCTCATTCTGTAGACCAGGCTGGCCTCAAATTCACATAGATCCACCTGCCTCTGCCTCCCAAGTGCTGGGAGTTAAAGGTGTGCGTCCCCACCACCCAGCTGCTGATCTATTACTGTAGTTATTTTTGTTGGTTTGTTCTTCTGAGGCAGAATTTCTATTATCTATCTACCTATCTTATTCTAAGGGTTGAAATGTTCTTTATAGGATAGACTATCTTGAAATCCGCCGGCTCCTGTCTTAATCAACACATTTGGCTTAACCATTTTTTTCAAATATGCAAAGAACTCTTCTTTACTTAAAACAAACCACAACGTTTCTTTTTTTAGATACTGTTTATTTAGTAGCTCAAGTAACCTTGAACTGAACTCCTGGCAATCCTCTTGCC